ATTCAAATTTTAGTATGTTATTATGGATGATAACGACTACCAGTTGTCAAAATTTCAGCTTTTCACAGTTGTTATTTCTAACAAATATTAGGTTTTAAAATTTTGTCCCTTAGTTTTTGACACTACTATATATATATATATATATATATATATATATATATATATATATATATATATATATATATATTTGTACTGAATTGCACATATTTAATCAACCCATATGATAATATTTAAAAAGTTGTCTCTTTTTTTACAGATAATTAACAAATCTTAATTAAACTATATATTCATTAAGAAAAACCTCTATTAAATGAATTACAACCATTTTCAAAAATTTTTCTCAATTGGAATAAAAAATTTCTGAGGAAACATGCAAAGATAATGAAGATGGAAGATCATAGTGACATGTATTGTGCCTTCTCATTGTAACAGTTCACCTGATGTTAAGACTTAGGTGCTTCAATTTATTTTTTTTTTTTTTTTTAATTTTATCAACTTTTTGAAGGTTATTTAAAACCAGAAAATATTTTAGATTGTAAAATTGTTTTGGAGACAATGATTTACTGACACAAGTTCTACTAATTAACCGATAGCTGGTGGCAGAAAAGCTACATTTATATTTTTCACAAGGTTATTTGCATGTAAGTGAATATAATGCACTAAGCTGGAATTAGAACTTGGCACTTTGATTTCCAATTCCAAGCCATTATCCAGTACCCCACTATCACATCCAAACTGACAGCATCTACTATGCTCAAGTGATTACTCATCTAGGCACTAATGAGACTCAACAAAACAAGTTCCCATGAAACAGTCCTAATAAAAAAGCATAGATTTGTAATATGTACTTCTGGAATCATAACTTATTTAAAAATCATTATTAATGTAATGGAATAAACTGTCACCCCATGAGTAACTACACTATAGGTAGTAACTACCTATAAGTCTCAGTAAGTCAACGGTCTATGGAGTCTATCTGTGCTAGTCAAACTCTCTGTCTCTGAGCAGAGAGGATCTCCAGACAAGGCTATGTTGAAGGGCAGAGTCTCATCTCAGGAAATAGCTACCTGAGCCTGTTTTATACTGGGTCAATGGGGAATTTTTGGCTGAGCCTACGGGCTCGGTACCCCACATTAAACTCGGCCTTCTGCTACATCTGATTGCGTGGGGTGGTTAGTAAATATACTAGCTGAGATCTGTTCCAGCTGTGCTGGTTGAACTGTCTGCCTCCGGGCAGAGAGGATCCCCAGACGAGGCTATGCTGATGGGTAGAGTATCATCTCAGGAAACAGCTACTTGACCCCATTTTATATGGGGTCTCAGGGAATTTTGGGGGGTCTGAATACCCACGTTAAACTAGGCCTTGTGGCACATCTACCCTCATATGGGGCTACTAAATATAGTCTAGCTGGGATCTGTTACTCAGCTCTCAGCTGTTGTCGAACTTTCTGCCTTTGGGCAGCAAGGAACCCAGACGTGGCTATGCTGAAGGTCAGAGTCTCATCCAGAGAGGTAGACAGACCCAAACCCATTCATGCGGGGTTATGGGGAATTTTTGGCCAAACCTATGGGCTCGGATTTCTCCACATTAAATTTGGCCTTGTGTCATATCCTACCTTGTGGGGAGGCTGGTAAATATTGTCTAGCTGGGATCTGTTGAGTATGACTCAGACTTACCTGAGAACTACTAACCTTCCAATAGTAGCACTCAAAACTGGATTGACTTATGACGATTGTACACCTAACTGTTACCTTATTTCTTATTGTACTGGTTTTACAATAAACTTTACTTATTTTATTCACTGTCTTTTTCAAGTATATATTCCTATTAGCATGGAATATAATAATTCCCATCATATATAGATAAAAACTCTTAGATCACATTTAATTTAAATATTTTAGAAGTTGATGAATTTCATAAAAGTTTTCAAGTACCTAAATTTTTGACACATATTTCCCCCCACTTTTTATTGCATCAGTAAACACATATTTTGTGAAGAATTATGAGATAATAAAAAAAAACATGGCAAAATTAATGTTTATTGCTCCACTTGGTGGTCATTAATTGTACTAGAAATATAAACAATACAATTCTTGAAGTCAGTATTTTCTCTTGCTGGGCAAAAATAATATTTAAAAAATCAAAACAAGGTTATAACTTTAGTTTCTGACCTGGGAAATTTTTTAGCTAGATGTCGATTATGTACAGTTATAAAAATATAAATAATCAGTTTAGCTAACATGATGGACACAAAGTAAGGGTCTAACTTAACCCTATACTTGACAAAAATGTGTAACATTAAGGAATTTTTGAAAACAGCACCCATGCTTCAATGAGCATTTGGTGGTTTTAATTCCAACCATCATTGAGATGTGCAATGATTAATATTCACTGGATTTTGAATTGATGAAGAAGAAGATTCTTTTGAAAAAAAATGTATAAATGCTTTTATCACTATTAAATGTCAGGGATATTGAGATATTATTATTATGGGATGGTTCAATAAATGCTGGGAGATGGAGAAAGACATGAATGTGATAAGAAAAGAAAGAAAGAAAGAAAGAAAGAAAGGAAGGAAGGAAGGAAGGAAGAAAGAAAGAAAGAAAGAAAGAAAGAAAGAAAAAAGAAAGAAAGAAAAAGACTAATAAAGAAAGAAAAGACTAAGAAAGAAAGAAAGAAAGAAAAGACAAAGAAAGAATAAAAGAAAGCAAGAAATAAACGACAAAGAAAGAGAGAAAAAAGAAAGAATGAGAAAAAAATAAAGATAGGAGGAAAGAAAGAAAATAATAAGAAAGAAAGACTAGGAAAGAAGGAAAGAAAGAAAAGAGTAATAAATAAATAAATAAATAAATAAACACTACAAAATGAAAAAAGAGTAAGAAAGAAAGAATGAAAGCAAGAAAAGGCAAACAAAGAAGGAAATAAATAAATAAATAAAAGACTACAAAAGTAAAAAAAAAGAAAGAATGAAAGAAAGCAAGAAAGAAAAGACAAAGAAATACGGACAGAAAGAAAAAAGTCCAAGAAAGAAAGAAAAAAGATTTGATTTAATTGATTTGATATTTTTATGGCTTCTCACCTCTTTGTTGATCATTTAAAGCTGAAATTTATTTAAGATTGTAAGAGGTCACTTATATTACCCTGTTTTCCAAAGCAGTCACCCATCTAGGCACTGATCTGGTTCGATACTGCTTAACTTCAATAATCAAATGAGAACCATTTTCTTCATAATGACTTGACCCTAGGCTAAGAAAAGAAAGAAAAGAAAGAAAAGAGAAAGAAAAGAACAAAAAGAAACAAGGGTATTTGTGAGTGTCAAACTTGACTGGTATTTCTAAGTAAAAAAATTAAGAAAAATGCTCTTGGGAAAGGCATGGATCCATCAATTCATCCCTTATAGGTTAAATAGTAGGATAGACTGAGCTCTTTATCCATGATTGGTAACTAGTCTAGTAAAAGGACAATTGAATAAAGGCATTAGTTAGATCCAGTGACAGGACCCAAAGAGTGTGAGTTCAATACCTGGTTAAAGCGGTGGAGAACTTAGAGAGGAGGATTAACAGGAGATAACTGATACCTGACATCCATTAGACATGGCATGTGGAACTAGAATAGTCTATCCCATCGAACGAAATAAAGGGTTCAGTTCAACATTCCAACTACCTGAAGAAGGGTGGAGCATACAACAGCTGAAATGTTGTGATAAATATGGTAACAAAGATCAGGATAATGTAAATAGTGTACATAATTTATGTTCAGAAAAGAAGAAAATTATAAGAACATAAGGAAAATTAAATAAAAAAACTTAAACAGTGTAATTAGTCAGTCTTAATGAAGTTCATATGTACATATAAAAGTGAACTGTGGACAGTGGCATCAACACCAAGATGTGACAGTCTGGTTCATGGTTAAATGGAATTGTCAGGCCTGACTATTGTGTTTAAACATGAAACAGGCTCTCACCTCTGGGTGTTGACTTCAATGTTCATTTTTATATTTACATAACTGATATTGAGCACTGAACTTTAATCCATAAATGTAGCATACTTTAAAATTATATTGTATCATATATATATATATATATATATATATATATATATATATATATATATATATATATATATATATATATATATATATATATATATATATATATATATATATATATATATATATATATATATATATATATATTAATTGAGAAAACAATGAGATTTATAATTCAGTTAAATGTTATTAAGTTTCTGAAAAAATAAAAAATTTATTAAATCAAAAAAAATGAAATAGCGAGTTTTTAGACATTGACATTTTTTTTTCCTTCAGGAATAGCTAAACTTTTAAAAAATGAAACTAACATTTTTATATTTGATCATAAATAAAATAGTTTATGAATACATAATTAGATTCTAATATATTAATTTTAACATTAACATATATGTACTCAATTAGTAAATAAATTAAATATAATTTCTTTAGTCGGTACGAATAAAAATAAAAATATTAAAAATGTGACTAAATAATATATGTGTGTGTGTGTCTGTGTGTGTGTGTCTGTGTGTGTGTGTGTGTCTGTATTAATATAATAGAAAAGATCAGTTAGATTAATGATTGAGTGTTCTTTAGTATTTATATTTTTATTTTTTCAAAAACACTCCTTGATATAAAAGTATATATATATATATATATATATGCAGAAGTATATATATATATAAGTATATATATATATATATATATATATATATATATATATATATATATATATATATATATATATATATATATATATATATATATGAAGTATATATATATATATATATATCCATACATAATGATTTTGTTTAAATGTATTATATTTATTGATGAAGTCTACTCAGTATTGGTATAAAGTGTTTATAGTTATAAAAATATCAATAATTACCTTTCCAGACCAATATAATCTTCTAAGCAAATGATCAGAACTAATTTTCAAAGCAGACACAAAATCAAATTCTACTAGTCTATCTACAACCACATCATGACTCAAAACAACAACCTATGACTTAAATTTATTAAACATTATTTTGAATAAAAAAAACATTAGAAACAATGAAGTTATACAATTATTAAAATAAAAGAATGCAAATATAATACAATATTTAAAAAATATAGAATAAACAAATTGAAGATCAGATGAGAAAGAATTTGGTAAAAACAGTTTCCCTCTTCCCTTATTTATCATAAACCCAAAGAAAGCTATATAAAGAATCCAACAAATGAAGAGTAAAACATGATCTCATTATCACTTAAGGCATGAAACAGTCACTTACCATACAGCGATGATGTCACTAGCTACTCTATTTATACCTATATAGATATAAATAAATAAGGGATTTTTAAAAATATTTTATCAGATATTATTTCTTAGTGCTTAAAACATTATCTCGTAGTAGATACATGTATTTGAGTAGATTCTCTGTTTATTTAGACAGTGCGAATTACATCTACCAAATCTACTTTTTGGGTTGCAGGTTCAAATCCTGCTGGAGGGCACATTTTCTTTATTAAGATTTCTGAATGCACAGGCTGGTAAATGTAATTCACACTGTTTTCAAAAAATGTATATCTACTCAAATACAAATATCCACTAAAATATAATATTTAAAGTAATAAATAATTACCATATTTGATGGCATATTACAGGTGTATAAGATGTACCCCAATTTCAGCAGGACAAATCAAGAAAAAATTAGTAATTAGTAAGATTAGCAAAATTATTAGTAAATGGTACTGCCTTGGTACTATTTATGAGGTACTAGCAGTAGAGCCCAGCGTTGAGGGATGTTTAAGAGATAGATCAATCGATCATCATAAAGACTGAAAAATAAAATTGACAAAGATTATTGTTTAAGGTTGACGGACACACAAATTAGTTTTTATTGTTTTTTTTTGTTTTTTTTACGAATTGGTCAAACCCAAACTCAAACAAAAACATTGTTTTCAATCGTTATGAGTCTACCAATTGAATAGAATTTTTCAATTTTATTATAAACAAATGTCTTGTAAATGGAATTTTTAAAGCATTCTGAGTGTAAAAACAAAGAAAAAAAGTGTGCAAGACAATAAGAAACACTACCTGCCAAAAAAAAAGTGAAGTTTTGTTGAAATCGGTTGAAAAATGTAGGAAATCCGATACCATATATAAATGAACACACACACACACACACACAGAAACAACCTGGGTTTTATAATAAGTATAACTCGATATGAGTTGTCCCCCTTTCATTCTCAAAACAGTGATGCCTCTTAATCGTGTTTTCAAATTGATTTTTGCAAAAACAATTGTGTTTTTCCAATTTTTGGCACTGTCAGAACCACCGCAAGGTAAAATATGTAGTCCTGTGAAGTTCTGTTGAAATCGGTTGAAAAATGTGGGAAATCCGATCCAATATATAAACGTTACAGACACACACACACACACGCACACACACACACACACACAACCTGGGTTTTAAAATAAGTATGATTATTTTGGTTAAACAAACCATGATTACAATTAAATGAAAAATAATAGGAAAAAAGAACACGAGCCTATAAAAACTTTATTATATCCTTTATAGGATCTGTGCAACCTGCGTCTTGCAAACGTCTTATTGGAATAATTAGGATATAAAAATTCTGATTGTATTTGTACAAATGCAACCGGAAGTTATCGCAAGAAAAATATTAATGAAACAAATATATTTTACAAATATATAATTTGAATTTATTGCATATAACTTTAGTGAAACAAGTTACTAATATTAAACGTGATGAAATTAATATAATGAATATTATCAATGATAACACTTTAATCTTCATAATAGCCTTTTAAATAATGACAATAGGTATATGAAAGTTACTCTAAAGTCTAAGCTAATAGGAGTTGCCAGGTAGCTAATTTTGGCCTACTATTGCAAATTTAAACCTACATATGTCATATAAGATGCAGGGAATTTTAAAAGATATTTTTAGTAGAAAAAAGTGCACCTTATATGCTGCTAAGTAAGGTAATTAAACATATAATATTTATAATATATATATATATATATATATATATATATATATATAGAGAGAGAGAGATAGATAGATAGATATAGATAGATAGATAGATAGATAGATAGATAGATAGATAGATAGATAAATAGAATGAGAGAAAGAGAAAAAATATAATCAATAAATGGAAAAGGCAAAAGATAGAAGGATAGACAGAGACAGAGAGAAAATATAATGGACAATGGGAATGAAAGAGATAGATAGAAGGATAGACTGATAGAGAGAAATATAATAGTCAATGGGAAAGCAAAAGGTAGAATGATAGACTAATAGAAAAAAATATAAATCAATGGAAGGCAAAAGGTAGAATGATAGACTAATAGAAAAATATAATAGTCAATGGAAGGCAAAAGGTAGAATGATAGATGAAAAATATGTCAATGGAAAGGCAAAAGTGGAAGGATAGACTAATAGAGAAAAATATAATAGTCAATGGAAGGCAAAAGGTAGAATGATAGACTAATAGAGAAAAATATAATAGTCAATGGGAAGGCAAAAGGTAGAATGATAGACTAATAGAGAAAAATATGTCAATGGGAAGAAACAAAAAAATTCAATAGGCAAAAATAGGAAGCCTGGGAAAAAAATTTTAACAATGTAATTTTTACAACAACAAATAAATCTAATTTTTCTTTGTTCATAATTTTCTTTTTGTTTCTTTTTGTTTCTTTTGTTTAGGGGCAGGTGAATACTTTCATTTCTAGTTTGTCTTGTTTTTTCTTTCTCCACATTTATCTTTTATTTATAATTAATTTACTGACTGCATGACCTCTGCTGTTGCAGGTTTGACCTTTACAAACAAAGAATTTATCTTGATGACTTTCTCTCTTCCATTTAGTAATTATTCAGTTCCATTGAGGAGGAAATACATAATTTATAGGATGTTGGTAAATTGTTCAAATTTTTCTTCTAATTTATGAAGATCTCTTATTTGACCTAAAACAGAATATTGTTGCCGTATCTGTGATGAAGATGAAGCTGTACAATCTTCACCTTCCCACCTTGACAGAGTTCTAAATCATTTATGCTGTATAGTGGCGAATGACTTATTTTTATTATCTGAAGCTTTTTCCAACATAAACAGCATCACAAGCCTATTGCTACTCTATTGCTGTTTCCATAGCAAATGTTCAGATGAGCTCTCCATTCTTTAGTTACACCAGTTCTGACCTTTACTGTTAGGACATTCCATGACATATCCCACAGAGTCATATCACCCTCATTTTCGCCATGTTCCAAATGTAAGGAGAAAGTTTCACGGCTTTTTTCTCCAAGAACTTTTACTTTGTGGAACCGTTTTTTGTATAGATGCTTCTCTGAATACTACAATTTTAACCCCTTCAAGCCACGGGTCAACTGTTATCTGTCCTCTTTTTCTTCATAATCTTCAATTCCAAACCACCTCACCATTCATTCATATCACGCACTACATTAATCATAACCATTTTAGCAGAAATCCTCCATTTTGAGTCCCTCTTGTCCTGTACTGGGTGAACTTTAGTATAAAAAAAATGTTAGCCAATATTTTTCTTAATACTTCTGCTGAAATGGGGATGAGATTTAAAAGTTATTTTGTCTTAATTTGTCATCAGTTATGGTAAATGTTAAATCAAATGGGAATATTCAACATCGGTTAAATGAATAGTTATTTACAATCAGACCCAAACTAAACAGGAAATTAATTGTATTAATGCAAAAAGATCTAGAAGAGTGGCCATTCAAGACAATTTTTTAATTTCAGGAGTTTATACAAAAGAATGAATCAGTTCAAAAATTTGTCCAGAAATACTATAACCTTTCAACTTATGAAGAAGATCAGCATGCCAAACCCTGTCAAATGCCTTTCTAAAGCTTGAATGACTCTTTCAACAATGACAGTACATCAGCAGTTGACCTAGAGAAATGAAAGCGATATTGTTTGTCTGAAAGAAGATCTTGGGAGATTAGATGTTTAACCAATTTGGAGTTGATTAGAACCTTTGCCAAAAAGAGTTACAAGGCTAACAGTTTTGTAGTTAGAAAGATCAGATGGTACACCTGAGTTCTTAAAGACTAAGACTACAGAAGGGGATTTTTAACAAGCAGGAAATTTTATTTACATCTACAAATTTTATTTCCAAATATTCAGCATCGGTTAAATAAATATTTATCTACAATCGGACCAAAACTATAATAGGAACTTAATTGTATAAATGCAAATAGATCTAGAAGAGTGGCCATTCGAGACAACTTTTATTCCAGGATTTCATACGAAAGAATGCATCAGTTCAAAAATTCATTCAGAAATACCATAACCTTTCAACTTGTGAAGAAGACCATTATGCCAAACACTGTCAAATGCCTTCAAGATATCCAGTTTCACAATTCTTATCTAAAGCTTGTTGAACTTTAGTTATGTTAAACCGTCCTGGGTATGATGATAAACTACATCTGTGTCCTGGCTAAGATAATAAACTACGTCCAACAGCAAGCCTCTTCTGAAAACATTTAGTCATTCACAGCTAAACATTGTCTTCCTGAGCTTCTATTTTATATTATGTTTCCCTGTACCAAAAGGTAAAAAACTTGTTATTAAACCAGTTCCAGTTTTCTACTCTTGTTTTTGATAACTCAGTTACAACACTATAGTTGACAATTTGTCCTTTCTTCTTTTTTCTATGATCAGGAGGTTCTGAGGAATGTGGAATCATGTCTTAATTGCTGATGTTCCCAGGTCCACCCTGACCTGAGGTGGTAGCACCTATTAGGGTCCCAACTATAGGCAAATAGCTAACTACCAAACTTGGATCAAAACGTTATGAAAGTGTAAAAATAGCTTTAATGCCAGGAATAGTTTGTAAAAAAATTATTGCCAGCAATAAATGTTTGAAAAAAAAATATTACCAGCTATACATTTTTGAAGGAAAAAAATACTACCAGCAATAAAAATTATCTGCATTAAATAACCCATTGTGGCTGATATGCCATAAAACAAAACAAACAAACCAAGATCAGTTATGGTAAATGTTAAATTAAATAGAAATATTCAGTATTTTCAAAATAGATATTTATCTCCAGCTGGGACCAAACTATATATACACCCCTTTTAGTTAATAAAAGCATTTATTCATCAGTCTAAACAATACAAGAATATTATACAATGCAAATTGCAATTTTTTGGACTTTAACTTACAATCTTTGAAAAGTTTTGAAATTATCAGATCTGATATCTTTTATTGTGTGACATCCAACCACGAAGTACACAGATTAACTTTCTTGCCTTAAGAGAAACAGGAAAAATAGTAAACTTTTACATTTACTTTTTGACTTGTGATCAAATCACATTAACAAGTTCTTGTGCTCTTATCAAAGTTAAGCAACATTGAAATTATATTAGATGTAATTAGATGGGTGACTGTTTTGGAATTATTGAGTTCTAGATAACATTTTGTTTAAACATGTAAGTCTGCAGTTGAATGAGACACATTGGCCAATTCTCTTTTTTTCTGAGATATGTACCTCAAGGAAATAGAGAATCATGGCTCTCCATAGCTTCCTATCTTTTTGCTGCTCTCAGTAACATTTGACTCTTTACCATTCTTTTTTGTCCCTCTTCTCCCATCAATGTTTTAGAAAGGCCTGGAGAATCTGATATTCACAGGTCAAATGTAGGGAAAAAGAGACAAGGGCAATCAACACATGGCAGGCTTAAGCAAGAGAATGACAGAACGTGGCAGGGAAGTTGGCAGAGTCACAAAACTTACTGAGTGCTACATGGGATAGGGAGAAGTGGAGAGGCATGATCGTTTACATTCTGAAGGGACATGGTACATAAAAAGAAAGTTCTTCAAGAAAATTGATGATCATGGCTCTCCACAGCTTCCCATCTTTTGTTGCTCTCACTAACATTTGAACCATTATCATACCTCTTTGTCCCTGCTCTGCCATCTTCTTCTTTTAAATGTTGCGTACCTCAAGGAAATGGATGATCATGGCTCTCCACATCTTCCAAAATTTTGTTGTGCTGACTAACATTTGACCCTTTAACATTCTTCTTTATCCCTGTCCTCCCATCAATATGCATGTTCTTTTAAATGCAGTGTGCCTCAAAAAAATGGATGATTATGGCTCGCCACAGCATCCCAGCTTTGGCAGCCCAAAATATGTTTTGTGCTTTTATCATTCCTCTTTGTCCCTGTTCTGCCATCTATATGTTTCTTCTTCTTTTATGTGCAATGTGCCACAAGGTCATCGGCGATCATGACTCTCCACACCTTCCCAATTTGTGTTACTTTATCCCTTTCTGCAACTTTAAATAGGTCACTTGGTTTTCCTTCTGTTTCTCTTGCATTCAGCATGTCTTATAAATAGTAAATCATTCAGGGAATTATTCCACATTATATGTCCAAAAATGCTTATTCATCTCTTTCTGATTGTAAGTATACCTAGCTGCTTTTGTTTTCCTTAATGCTTTCTCATTGCTCACATGTTTTGCTCATGGTATTTTCAGCATCTTTCTGCAGAACCACTTCTCTATTGCTTCAAGTCTCTTCTTCATCTGTGAGGAAATTGTTCAGCATTCACTGCCATATAGGAGAATAGATATTAAAATAACAGTGCACCACTCCTTTCTTACTTTCTAATGACGCTTTGTATCTCCTAATAATTTGCTTAGTTTCTGGAATACATCTTTGATATTCCTATGTGCCTTGACATTTCTACATGAAGTTTTCTGGTATCTGTTACTACACTAACCAGATAGTTAAATTATCGGGCCTGCTTTATTTTTTAATTTCCAATAAAGAATTCAAAACTTAGGCTACCTCATTTGCTCACAACCATGTATTTTATCTTCCTATATATTGTGAGGGAGAATATTTCCCTACAAGTTTGGACTTGGTTGTTAGACGAAAGATATAAAAATACTCCTACATCAAGAGGAGTAGCAGCAGCAGTAGCCTCTGATGAAAATAGTTAGTCATTCATGGCTTTAACATTCTCTCCCCTAGTTTCTATTCTACATTATGTTTCCCTGTACCAAAAAGTAATAAACTTGTTGTTAAACTAATTTCGGTTTTCTACTGTTGATTACCATGTCTAAGTGTTGTTTTAGTTTCCTTTCTAAATTACTTTTCATTTTTGCTAGAGATGCTATGATCTGCCTTAGAACATGGGACCACTCAACAATTGCAGTCAATCCAGGAAGATTAAATCATTGCCCATAACATGAATTTCTTTATTTTTAACTAAAGATATGACAAACAGATCTGCTATCCTTTGTACTGCA